ACCATACCACTAATAAAATAGATGCCGCATGTTTTGTAATGCAAGTAACGTGCTACCGGGGTTATTTCAGTTACAAATTACTGTAATTTGCACAGACTACAGCCACCACGACACGATAAATCACCAGGACCACTTGAGGCACAGTCCGTAGTAATTAATAATAATCATTCGTGGATAGAAACCTAACGGAATTTATACAATTTGAAATGAACAAGTAAATTTTGCTTGAAATTACGCGTGAATATGAAATATATAAAATGTAGTACATTATCTATCACACATTACCTCAATTTGCCTCAATTAAGATCTTTATTTAGTTTATTATAAATATATATTATTACGGATAATTCTTGAATAATCATCCATATAAACTTACAATTCAAATATAATTAGGTTTCTAGTAATTTTCTTCCTATTATCTATATTCACAAAGCTACGCGAGTAAGTTAGAGCAAAAAGTGTTACCTAAAATGTAATCTATTTAGTCCAAATATCGATTGAATCCATCCAGTAGTTTTAGCGTGATAAAGTAACAGATATAGTTACAAATTTTCGCTTCTGTAATATAACAAGTGCTAAGAGAATATTAAGTACATAATATTTGTAAAATTAATCTAATTGCATAACAAAGAAAAACTTCTATCAAATATTCATATTATTAAAGAAATCTCACAATAGTCTCTAAATTAGTAACGGTAAGAAAATATTCTCTTTATTGTCTATAGTGCTGATTACCGTTTGGCCTAGCGTAGTCACGTGCATGTTTGGTGTTTTCGCAGTGACCTGGAATTTAGAACAGATGAAGGTTTCGCTCCAGTTAGTATTCAGACATGTTGGCACTAATATTGTTGTTGTTTTCACAATCAAGTTCAATCATATCTGTATTCATACTTAGATTTAAATTTTACCAAATTGTATTATTAGTCCATGTAATAACTTATACTACCTTTTCAAATGTTTTTGGTAAGATTCCAAACGCATATGCACGAAGGAAAAATTGCACGGAATATTTGCAGTGCTATCCGCACTTTATTAGTATATTCCGTTCCGTTTTTAGTAGGCTAAAAATTATGTATTTTTTTCTCGTCTTCATTATATAGCTGTGCCCGCAGTTTCACCTTCAGGAACTTTATGCCTATGTGTTATTCTGACGTATAAGCTATATTACTGTATAGTTCCCGTTCAGTAGTTTTTGCGTAAAAGAATATCAAATATGCATACATATATACTTCTGCATATCCATATTCACGAACTTTCGCATCAATAATATTAATATGATAATTATAAAATATTAAATATATATTATGATTTATATTTATTATTCATGAAATAAAGTGTATATTTATTATACATGTTAAGATATGTTCACAATTAAATATTCATTGACTAATATTGTAACCGAGAAAGTGTGTCTCTATCTAACTTACCCTTTTACGACTAAACTGTTTATTAGATAACTTATATTTATAAAACAATCTGGAAGGCGTGAAATAGGGGATGAAAGTTACAGCAAACAAAGTTGGCGTATCAGTTAGTCAAGTAAATTCGTTGCGTCCCAGTAAGTACCAAGGTTGATGAGGTTCCCCCGACATAACGGCATCGTAACAACACCACACCATCGTTACAACAGTCTGTTATTCTACGTACGCAAATATTTGTCCCGCCGAGAAATTAAAGCAAGAACCCTCGCGAATAATCCTCTCTGGTAATGCTTTGGGCGGGATGTCACGTATATAACATTCATGGCGAAGGGATTGCATGTTTATTGAATAATGTATATATGTATATACATGTAATATAATGTATTTTATACAAACATACATGAATAATATAATATACAAACCGTTTGTTTTATATACCTGTTTACAATTATGAGAATGACCAAAAGGTTATACGTACACTTAGGAAAAATCACGGGATGTTTCCATGTTTTATTCATTTTTATTGAGTTCCATGTATTTAGGTAGTGATTCAAATGCCATGATCACGGATAAACCCGTTCAGCAGAGTTTCAACCGCCATGATCATGGGTAAACACGGATTTACACGTGATGATAGTTTTTTTACGTATAAATAATGACCCTGTCAAATTTAAACCAGTACACAACGTGAGGTTATTAAACATTTATTACAAAACCGATTTTTTATTCCGAGACTAACATTCTCTGGAATGTGGTAAGCGGCGCCTATATACATGAACAATAGATACTACGGAGATCATGTGATTGCCCTTGGGAGCAGTTATATGTCATTAGAATATACCTTAAAAAAAATTATATACTGTAACAATAATTAAAATGTAATAACAGTTATAACTAAATTTATTACTAAATGAATAATATTTTTAAAATTTCTGTTGTTTCGATGTCTTTTGCAAGTTTACTTTAATTAATTTAAGTTTAATTAACAAATGTTTTCTAATTCTGGTTACCAGCAAAGTATTTTTAGTTAGGTCGCTCCAAAACAAAAGCCAAAAATTACGAGGAATAAATCACGCAGAGAAAACAACGGGCGGGTTTATCACTAAACGCTATCTCTGAAACACTAAACAACCTATGAAAGGAAGAAAAAAAATCTTAAACATTATGATCGGAGGCAGGATCATATTTTTTTGTGTTTATAACTGGGCATACATAGAATCTAGGTTAGTACTTACTATATGTATTGTATATGTCTACAGTCGATAACTAATCTGTTACGAACATAATTGTAAAAAAATAAATCATAAAACTAACATAACAGATAAATTCAAATACAAACCTTTTTATCGATCCACATCTCTACATTTTTGTATTACTGTAGTATGTTGTCATTTACACTGTCTAATATTTTGATTAAAGACTTTCACAATATATGAGTTGCGAAATGTATACTATTATGCAGACACGCACACAGTTCTCTATTTTTTTTTAATTTGTATTAAGTCTACAGTTTTCACAAATAAATTGTAAATAATTAACAATGACATATACATATGGTGACTTGACTAAAATGCTGAAAATGTTAATTCAGTTCATTACATTAAACACGCTTTTACCAGGCAGAGAGAAAAATAGGAACAAATTAGATGTCAACATTCAATTTATTAGACGTATATCTATTACAGTATTGGAATTCCATTGTAACATATAATATACTCTTTTATTTCTATTTATTTTTACAGGAAATATATATACTTTGTTATTTGAGCATTTGGCGCTCAATGTTTTAACATTTTCTAAGTATTTACAAGCGTTACAACAAGCTTAAGATATAAATATACATCTATAATAATATATATACAATTTGTTCACCCAACTTTCTGACAAAGTACATGAATAATATTTACAGATACTTAGAAAGTAAACAGGATTTTATACCAACAAAAGACATTTTGAACGCTAATATTCTTGCGCCAAGCAACTTTGGCGTTTGCGATTAGCCCCGTATTAACTCATTTAGAGGATATAATTCCATAATTATTACAATTGAAATAAGTTCCTTATATAATCCTGAATGTACACTTCAACTTTGAAGATTATTCTATACCATATATCACATTAACATTGTTGTCTAGACTTGCTGAAAATCTTCATTTATTACTAAGTCTTCCCACGAGTATTTCAAACATTTTATACATAGCTTTAACGAATTAGCCCTAAAAGGTTTAGAAATCATCAGAAACCATTCTGTTGTTGGATAAGAAGCTTATGAAAAGTCGTGAAGTAGTTTTTGAGATTATCACGACCATATAGTCGAACGTGAAGGGGCTTGTTTTGTATTAATACTATATAATTTTCCATACTACATCCATATTTTAAACACAGAATATACGACTAAAAGAAATAAATTCCAATTATGTAATATTAAAAAATATAACTAAATAAAACCAAAATATTCCCTAAACAAAAATACATAAATACCATTTAATGAAACATAATCTGCGTCAATTATAATAATCATTTATTATTTATCAATCATAACAACTTAATGCGTAACGTAAAGGAATTCTGTATTAAACTTACGTAGTGCTGGCTTTGTGGTGAAAGCCGGGCGTTAGAAATGCCGTTACTTCGCCTCGGTTTTGCGGTCTTGTCGCTGATATTCCAGGCACTTACTCCTCAAGAATTTCATTCAGTCAGATATTTGCTAAAGCCAAGAAGACTTTCAGTTTATAGTAAGAAAAAATAATAAATTTAAACAAGAATTTTAAAAGTCTGCCCGATTGTATCATAATGGCATGTTAGCCTAGGCATTCCCAGAGAAGAAAAAAAGAGAGTCGCTGCTTCCCCCCATCCCCTGAAAACTATACATGTTACAATATACATTAAAATAAATTAATTTTCGGTTTAAAAATTTTAATAGCTCCTCTCCCCCTAATGGTCCAACTAGCCTTACCAGAAGCAAATCTGGCTGGCAAATCAGTTTTGCCTCTAGAGGCATCCTCTATTTATCAGGCACGGGGTCAGAAGTTCCCTTCTGATATAGGCTGCGTACGTCTACCGTCTAGTAAAGTTATTTATGCTGCGATGGTCGTATATGGAAAGAGATTATATATCGAACCAACCGATACCTTGGATAAACATGATATTATGGGATTTCGTAGATTACTATACATTCACATATGGACGCCCTGCCATTTGTGTATAAGAAAATATGGTACCACAATAAAAAAGCATGCAAGTAATATGTAAAACAAAAATGGTTGGTGACATGCTTTTAAGTACTACTGTGGAACAAAGAAAGACAATATTTTTCAGGAAATTACATTGACACGTATTTCCGGATCTTTTGGAGTAACATATATACTAAACAGCTTGAATAGATTTCTTTAAAAGGGCCGTATATATTATGACAACAATAAGTGCGACAATATTGCGGTTTTTGTCAGAAACTTGAAAAATGTAATATGTACTCGAATTTTAACTAGTAATCACACAGTACAGATCAACCGCGGCTATAATTAATTACTTATTTGCAACAATATAACAGAGTCTTGGTTAATGTTCCAAATTCGAATATGATGCAAAAATCGCGTCAGTGTCGCTTTTCTTTTGACTCGCAAGGAACTGACTGACGGGAAAGCGAATCTCCATTCTTGGAGTCAGATGGCAGGAGTTGGTCCGACGGTAGTAGTCACAGTTCGATAGCGGCTCTACTTTCCACATAACTCCGGTGCAGAGGAAGATCAAGTTCACTTGTTTGCAATAACAAAACATATACTCGACTGAGTTCGAAATTCAAATTTGATTCAAAAATAAATATTATCATGTAATAGTCACAACTCTGTCACAGCAGCGTTCTTGTAAATAGAGCGACGCGCCGTCAGAGCGAATGTAGACTCGCGTCGGTGTCGCTCTCCGCGCCTCCGAGTAGAAGAGTGGACTCGCAAGGAACCGACTGACGGGAAAGCGAGTCTCGATTTCGTGACTCAGAGGGCGGGAGCTGGTCCGGCGGTAGTAGTCACAGTTCGATGGCGGCTGCGCCTTTCCACGTAACTCCGGCGCGGAGCAAGTGATATAGCCTTAGTACGCACCATATGCATAAACACTGCAAAAGATATTACAAAGTTCCATATATTAGTTCCATAAATATAAATTAGCATTTTCAATATAATTTACTTATGACTCATGATCAATTTGTACATTTTTTTTATAACTAGATACGGGATTATAATAAACTTATTATGTTTTCGTCTTTTAGGACGTTTAAGATGCTGTAATACACGCGCCTTACTCACTCTGATGAATACAATCTCAATAATAAACATATATATGAATACAATAGTAACTTCATTAAATTCCCGAAAACATTCATATTTATCTAATAATATTGTCTATAAAAATTATAGAAATACTTAGTAATGTATTCAAAATAAATATAATTATTAAAGGGAATATGGAATGTATTACTGGATAAAGATCATGTACTAGAAATAGTAGTTATGCCTATTTAATATAAAACAATAATAATTGTACGGTACTCTACAAAATCAAGTCAAATGAAAGTGACATATAAAAAAGAGGTATCAGAACAATATAAATATTTATAAAAAGAATGGTGGACAAGTTTCCAATAACAGTAGTCATAACCTATCATGAATTTAGTATCATAACTAAAGTTACAGGTTATCTGAGTAAAATATCCTTAAAAAATATTTTAAGTCAATTGAATTCAGTACATAGGAAAAATATACTTATGTAACAACCTACATAACTTGAATTCATGTGTTATCTACAATATTTCTAATTGGTAACTTGAATAACAAATATACTCACATTCAAAAATATCCTTGGTATTAAAAAAGATATTTCCGCCTTACACATGGCGTCGAATTGCTGAAACAAAAAATATTAACGTTAATCAAACTTTAATAATTTAACTTTCCATCACTCAATCATATACAAGAGCATAATGATATTATTAGGTAAGTGAGAAATGGTAACTAATATTCAAAAATATTACTTATATATGACATTTTAAGCACTATCAATTTCAGTTCAGTATAAGGAACGGGCAAGAATGAGAACTACTTTTTCAAAATCAATATTAGGACTTATACGTCTAATATTATATTAAAAAATCCTGTAGAAGAAATAAGGCTTTATTTCTTCTATAGGATTTTTCAAAGTAATTCTTTATTGATGCTTTTCTTAGTATGTCCAAAATATCTTTCAGTATTTTAATGTAAAAAAAATGAGATTCATGTATACAAGTATACTATACTTGTACATATAAAGAATATAAAACTATATACAGAAATTAATAATTAGTTACGACGACAACAAACTTATTTTTGGCAATCAATAAAATATCTTATGGCATCGTAATACGATATATCAATTTTCCGCTTCGAAAATGCCTACGTAGTTATAAAATGGTACAGTCACCACTAAAAAGCCCTATTTAACGAGCTACTAACCATTTTCATGGTAGTAAAAAGTATACTTACTTAAAGTTAAATTGTAGAACGTAGAAGGTTCCGTATAAATAATAATTTTTTAAAACTTTCAAAATACAAACAAGCTGATATACCTACTTGATGAGGATAGAATATATACGTTAACACATGTAACATATAAATAAATAATTATTATGCTGAAAATCAGATCTAAATGTTGTTGAAACAATTTTTAAATCAAAGTCATTACATAACTTTATTTGTAATTGTAACACCGTTTGTATTTCGGTTGAAAGGCGAGACACGACTGTTTTGACGACCGACGATATAAATTTGTATATGATATAATGTTGAAGATATAAATTTAAAAATAATAATAAAATATTTTTACGTTGGAACTGTTCCTTTTAAGTCATATCTGCATTTTAATATATTATAGTATGCAAAACTACGTGACTAATGCAATAAACCGATCCATTACAGAATGAGAATAAGATGAAAGAAGCGCGACATGTTGGTACTCCGAAATCACATCGCATGATGTCCTATTAGTTCTATTGTATGTAGGCAACGGTTACCACATAGAACCAGGTGGGTTGTAAACTTGTTTGCTATTCGATTACATAAAGAAAAACCAATCACTATATTATTAATACTAATACTATACTATTAATAATTATGGAATCCTAAAAATTTACGCGTGCCTGTAAATATTTTGTACTGTCTCGTCATAAAACTGAGGCGCTGATTGGAGTCTTTCACGCACCATTGTATACATTGTTAAAATTTCTACTTTAATATAATAGGGTAATACGCTTATTACATAACACCTTGATGACCTCGGTGGTCTAGCAGTTACTTCTGACGGTAGCAGGTTCAATTCTCGCATGATATAACTGTATATATAGGTATTCCTGAAAATGACTATTTATGTGTGTGTGTATATTTACTTATTTAGAGACTTCTTTAATTTAATACATGTATTTGTGTTGTTTAGCACTCAGTTTACAAGCTTTTACCTAATTTAGGTTAAGATGACGCTGCGTGAATTGTCCTAGGATATTACTATTACTTTTATATCCGTTTATCCTAATCTGTCTATTTTCTTTTTTTTATTAATATAATAATAAATATAGACAGATAGAAATTTTAGAAATTTTATTTGTACTCCGCTGTCATAATTAATAATAGAATATAAAGTTCATGGCTATTAAACAGTCGTTTGCATTTACGCTGAGACAACCTTTTCAGTTTTATTCATTTAGATTTTATTAGTTCATTTCTTATTTATATTCTTGTATAATTTTATTTGCTGAATAAAAGACTAGTAAGTACTATTACGTAAGTAGTATACAAAATTAAACTTAATGATATCATTAAGGTCTTTAAGGTCTATAAGGTTTTATATGCTCACTTTTTTTGTTTTGTTAAAAAAAAGTGAGCATATAAAACACTGGCGAGACTGTCTAGTTAAAAACAAAATTAAACTGAACTACAATATATAAATAAACTAGCTAATTCTTGCGACTTTTTCTACTTTTTTACTGATATAACATAGTCTATGTCTGTCCTCGTGATACGATCATAAACATAGTTACAATTCGTTCAGATATAGTTTACTAGTGAATTACAAACGCTCGCATTTATAATATTAACATGAATTTACTATATAATAAGTATTTTAGTAGTAGAAAATCATCCGATTTTTATAGCTGAATAGGTAAACTCAAGGGCTGGTATCAACCCTATAGTATACCCAAACTTTACAGAAAAAGTCCTTCAAAAAGTTTATTCAGGGTTGACATAAAGTAGAGTAGCCGCTTACCATTAATCGGAACGACCAACGTACTATTCAATTTCAACAATCATTTAATAAAAAAAACATTACCCTAAACATATTGCAATAAGATCGCATTTCGTGTAACAATTCTACAATAGAAGTACTTACTATGTAACAGGCATTAAAGTATCAAGGACAGAATATCGTCAATCGATGTTAGCGTTGAATGTGTGATGATAATAACACTATTAGGCTATTAACTCGCTATTACTATCCATAAAACCGGCCAATATCGTGATGGATATGTTTATTAGGGAATTAACCTATGTAAGTGACATTTTGCTAAGTCATCAAAACTTAATTACTAGGTAAAGTGAAATTGCTAACGAAAGTTAATTCAAAACTGTGTTAGAACGAAACGTTTGTGGTAGCTAGGAAAACTAGGAATCTGTTTTCTAAAGTACTTCTAGTTTATTGAAATTTTGGTATTTTGGATTGTAACACATGTGTAGAGAATAATATTTTATATTAATTCTTTATAACATATAGTGTATACAGTTAAAAATTATAACATCTGTGACATCTTTAACATAATTAGACTTTTAACTTAGTTGAAAGTTAAAATCTACATCATATATATAAAAATAGATACGTCGAAAAAATGTAATGGAATTCACTTAAAAATATCTTCTTACATGATCAAAATGTATAAAATTACTTACTGGATTTATAATTACCTTGTTTAATTCCGCTTCTATTAGTAGGCTTCCAAAATATATACACGCTCTATTCATTGCCTAATGATATCTCGTTTAGACGCGAAACACGTGTCGTAATATGGGTATAGATCCAATAACGGTCAGAATTTTCACTAATAGGGAAGGTCACAACTTCCGGTAGCGGAGCTAAGGTTTCCGCACTTTATATTTGTGGTCTTAGACATACCAATTGTTGCGGAATTAAACAAAATAATACAAATCCATTAAATTATGAAGTAGACTTCCGCAAAATTTCTTACTCATATCGAAAAAAATTATGATAAAACTTTATGAAATTTTTTTGACATTAAGTTTTGAACTTATTTTCATAATCAGCAGATTATAATCTATACTGACGAGTCTTAATGAAATTTAATATGGAGATATACCGTATTAAACAAATATAGGACTATATCTCACCGTAATAAATAATCTAGAACGGGGTAAAATGTTGTGTAGACGAAGTCGCAGATAAATTTAAATTAAATTGTATATATATTTATAATTCGAATATTGTTACAACATAATCCATCCATATGAATTTATCCAATATGTGTTTTTAATTAACACTTGATATAACTTGATACTTCATGTATATATTTAGATATACACTGAAACATTTTAGTTGTTGTACACTAGCTGTGCCTGCGATTTCTACTGCGTGATATTATTGTAAAGTTCATTAAAATTCATTGAGTGATATAAACGTGAAAGAGTAAGAAACATCCTTGAGTATATATCCATACTAACAAACTTCCGCGTTTGTAATATTTGTAAGATAAATATTACAAATCATAAATACAGAAATGTTTCTCGAAAATGCAGGGGGTAAACTAAGTATGTCTCTCTAATTATTTGATTTTTTATCGTTGTTTCTGTCACGACATAAAAAAACATATTATAATAGTAATATGTTTTTTTTTATCAACCAGATTTTAAAATAGCAATCTTTCTGTCGAGTTCGGGTTGTAATCCAATAGGACGTCGTTGTTAAGATATATGGATAAATAAGTCCTAAAAAATCTCAACAATTATATATTTCAGCGTGTATTTGGAAAAAATAATGGTGAATGCGAGCGCGCGCTATCTCATTCAGCAACTCGCCGTAGGGCGCGACACGCAAAGGGTTTATTAGAGCACAAACAAACACAATTTGTCCGTCGTTTGTTGGGATACTAAATTAAGGTCCGCCTGAGATTTGTACAAATTCTGTGATTATTTATTTAAATTATTATACTCAAGTATCTACATTCAGGCACTTTTCATTCAACATTCAACCATTTTATCGTGTTGTATCCAACAGCAAAATACCTAATATACAATACTTCGAAATAAATAACAATATTGTATCTAAATAAATTTTGTTGTAAGCGATGTATCGCTTACAACAAAATTTAATACAGTTATATTGTAATTAAGTCCTCATATGTGACCATATTTATATACCTAACGCAAAATCAAAGATATGTGAATCATATTGCACTTATTTCAAGTATTATGTAAAAAACTAATGAATTTTAGGTACTACTTAAAAATATTATAATTGTACCATTCTAAAAGGCGTGACAGGACTATTTTTAAAGTCAGATCATTTCTTTACACGACAAAAAAATTCGAAATTATTATCAAAACTTATTTATCAATTTAAAATTTAAATATATGTCTATTTCTTTTTTGCGTACACAACTTTACATCTGAAATAATGTTACTAACATTATACTATACAAAGAACGCTCGTTAAATTTAATGAATCTATTTATATATCTTATATTAATTTATTAACTATTATATCTGAGTTGTAGCATATATATTCATATAAAATTTAATTAAAACTTGTTTAGTAATTTTTTACCTCCATTTAGCTTGAGAGCAAATTCCCAGAGGGCATGGACAAATGAC